TAAAAAATATTAATATGTATATACCTACATGAACCATTGGAAATAGTGTATTATACTAACTATTTGAAATTATGATTAACAAAATAATAGTGATGTTACATTATTATTATATAAAYATATATTTTTACTATGTTATTGTGATAGAAGATAACCATAATATGGATCTTATRTCTTAAATATTTTTTTTTAGAAAACCGACATCGATTGACGACCAGACAACTTCACTGATATGAACTGAATGACAAATCATAACATTAATTGAAATTACTTAAATTTTTATTCTGTTCACATTAAAATTTGGAAAATTGAAATAAATTGCATATTGTTATACAATTCAATAATATATATTATATAATATACATATATARCATTCCAATACGAAAATGATACCTTGAATGATTACAAATCATTGTCTATTAAATTGTTTTAGATAATCACTGTTAATTCAGAAAACAGATGACTTCGAATGCTGACCAAATGACGGAACATGTTTATTAATGTAAAATATTACAAAAATTYAAAAGGTATTGAACAAAAAAATAGCTGAGAAGCGAGATGAATATACAAACCTAGTTAAAATTGTATTTAATAAGTTTGACCACCATTAGGGCTTTGATAATATAAAAGATTTACAACATTTTATATATCGTTAAAATATTACATGTTGAATAAAATTGCTTATGATCAAATGCCATGGGTGGCGTAAGAATGAACTATTTAGGGAATTTATGATTGGATTTTATTATTATTTTCATAATAATTCTCATTCATTAAAAAAAAAAAAAAACGCAATAGGTACTGCTGTTTAAAGAATTTTTATGATCGATTTAAATATTATATTTTTTCGTTCTCTTAACCACTATGACAATAATAATAATAGTAACAACACAGAAATATGTATAATATTATTATGTAATAAATTTTTAAGTTTTTTTTTAAAAAACTAGGACGACACTAGTCGTATTAGTATGAAAAAAAACATGAGTTGCGTTATGTACGACAACAATGTAGAACTTAAAAAGTTGTAAGGTAATCTTGGAAAGAAATCCGGCAATGTAGCACATTTTACCGGGAAAATGTATTTCATCCACGCTCGTATTGTTTGCTGACTTCGACTAAACTGTTATAATAATAATAATAAAAGTAATACACAAAGCGTCTGAATAAATCAAAAACGACGTACAATAATACATAATATCGAGTTCTGTCAGTGACAATAGTATATTATTATTATAAAAAAAAAGGACYGTGAGTGTAGCGCACCGATCGGATATCTATCGCATTTTTATTTTTACAGATCACACGAGAGGATTGMTTTTTAAGAGGCCTCGCGTGTCTATAGATTCCGAGYAACACTTTATAGACTACTATATTATTATCGTTGTGTTACTCGTAAACGATTTAATAGTGTGGAACGTCAGTGACACGCCGAAAAGGGCGGAATACTCATAATCGTTGTTCAGCATAAAGAACTTAATTTTATCATAAAAAAAAATTGTAATTTAAAATATTTGTTGATGATGAAAATAAAAGTTTAAAAAAAAATGTGAGCGAATTAAATGATTATCGATTGTCCCTCTCCCACAAATAATGAAATATTACTACTGGTTGTGTGCCACTGGTAAATATACAGGATACTTTATGTCCCTTTATTATCTCTGACTTACACATGCGAACAATATATATTCTGCGATTTCGTAAAAAAAGTTTTATTTTTTGTTCAAACTGACTAGCAATACTCTGACTATAATATTACATCAACTGCAGTATGTGGCAATAAATATTATTCGTTTTCCAATAACTACCACGCTGTATAATATCGCGTAAGGATTCTCTACAATGTTTACATGAAAAAACGACCGAAAAACATTGTTAAACGTATTTTTAGATGACCAAATATTATTTTACGTTGACAAACATTATAAATCTTTGAATTTGTAAGCCACGAATTTATGGCCGGCATATATTCAAAATCAAAAACCGAAATTTAAATACGCATCGCTCCGTCACTCATATATCGTACACGTTACGGAGAGTTTGCATTTTYTTTTTTTCAAAACAAAAAAAAACTTGGGCGTTTGATACGTAAAGTTGGTATATTACGTAAGTAGTTTTTGACTATAAGCCTACGTCGGGGGCTCTTTATACGACGTTTATTTTCATTCACGTGATTTGCGCATCATGTGAAAAACGCAGTGTTCGGCACTGTCACTCGTTTCACGTCGAAAAAAAGACGACATGATGTATAATTATATATATATACCTATATACAATCGCGACGTTTTCGGTATAATAAATATTGATATGAAAATGAAGTGAGTGTTAAAAAATCTCGAAATTTCCACAGTGCACTCATAATATTGTGATGCAGCGGGTACACAAATAGTCGAGTTCTAAAAGTCAAAGATAAAAATCTTTTGTTGAAATGCGCGTCCACATTCGGATTGCGACACAGCAACAAACGAATAATATGCGAAAACCGCAAGACACACGATCGATGGTATAGGCGCAATGTGTATATTATGACGTCAAACAGAACATTGTTATATGGATAATATTATAATAATATTGTAAAGAGATATATAATATGGTTATTATTTTTATTTCATCGTGTCGAATTTTTGAAAATTTCGAGAAAAAAAATTTTTGTAATCGACGTACAAAAATATAAAGTGCACGACTCTCCCAAAAGAATAAGAAAAAATTAAATAAAAAAGTTAAAGAAACAACAATTTATTAACAATAATATCGTTTTTTTTAATTTCTTCGAGTATTTATACAAAATAAAGCAATATTTTTGTTTGTGGAATAGTAAATAATATATAATACAAAAAATATGATATCAAAACGCGAATAAAATATTATGACCTATTTACGATAACGGTGAAAATAAGTATCGGAAAACACAGTACTAACCAAACATTACCGGAGGATGACCACAATCGCACATACCAAATTAGTTGAATAATTTATCATAAATATTAATTACAACAAAACGTTCCTATTTAATAAACAGAACTATGGTGAAGTGAAATTTCAGAAATGTATTATTCAATGAATATCTGAAATTCGATAATTATATTTTAAATAGAGATCTCTTATTTACTTAAAAGTGCAAACAGTAGAAATATTCATTGAGTTTCGAAGTATATTTTTACAAAATCAAAAACATACCATACCAATTTTATTAATTTCAATATTTCGATTTTAATCATAATTAACATAGTATAATACAGGTAATGATAATATTTAATATTTTCGCGGTAGTATAGCATTCACAATATCGCTATTTCATCATTTTTTTTTGACAATTTCTGTGAGACAAAAATTTATAAATGGAAACTTTCTACTTCCATCACTAAACACAGCATTTATAGCAATAACGCAATATGGGCGTTGACTACCGTTTTTATCTTCTTCTTCTTCTTCTTTTCCTTCTTTTCCTTCGCCTTTTCTCCCAACTATTTGGGGTCGAACACCCTGGTCATCAATTTCTACTTAATACGATCCATAGCATCATCTTCACAAACACCATAGTCATTCTCATATCACACTCAATAACTTCAAACAATCTCTTTTTCGGCCATCATCTTCCTTTTTTTTCCATCCACACTCGTGATCTTTGTCACTGAAACTGTCTCAGTTTTTTCTCTTCTTTAAACATGTCCTAGCCATCTAAACCTATTCTCACGCAAATTACCGTTTTTATCAATCATGTTTATAAGAAGGATGGAATGTGAAGTTCGTTCCTGTCTGTCGCAACTCGTTGCGTAGGTGATGCGAGTGGAGTATAATCGCCAGGACGACGATAACAACGTTAGCGTATAATTATTAAACATGCATAAACGAATAATTACTAATATCATTGAATCGGTATAGTAATAATAATAACGAGTTATACTATTCGTGGAATAATAATTGTAATATTACGGTCGTACAACGTCGGGGTGCCACGAAAGGTCGACGAGATACTTTCGTTGCGATGCAACAACTCCCGACGTAACTGAATTAAAATAATTTGGTGCGAATAACCGGTTTTCGGAAACGCATCGCTCGAACGGCGAAATGTTTAAATGACAAACACGAATTACATAAATTGAGAGAAAAAAATCGTAATAATTTATGTAGAACAAACAACAAACGGATCGACCGCATTTGTATTTTTTGTMATTGTCGTCGTCCTCTCTCCTTCTCAAACGGAAATAAGATTGTGCTGTCGTATTAATTATGATACGTATTGCATAGGTAACATGTGGCTATACAGATTGAATATCTTCATTATTGAATATTTTTGGCAAATGTATGTGTTTTTGAAAGCATTTTTTATTTTACACTGGTATTTCAAAATATTATTGAAAAAAACCATTTATGAAAAATATATTTGATACCTAATTTTTTTGTTGAATTAGTTTTGGATATTAAAACTAGATTTCCAATATTTAAKTAGWAATTAGTTATAATAATATTGTTWTATGTAAATACTTAAATTTACATTTCGCGGGGCAACCTCACCGCAACTTACTTTAKTACCTATCTACTCTGATTGATTAACATTAAAATATACTTTTATTATTACACTTTTAACAGTTTTAACTAATTGTTACGTAATCCACATATATACTATATATTATAATATATTCAATTGTTATTCATCGGAATAAACACAATATAACGTATTGAAAATATAACTTTTAGAAACACTCCGTTTGTAGTAATTTGTTGATAAAAATGTATATAGCAAAAAAATATTTTTTTCAAAAACAAAAATAAATTCACTGAGAAAACAAGTGGTGATAAAAGATTACCTACCTATTATATGTATAGTAGTTATACACCTACGTAATGTTATTATTATTAATATAACCTACAACGAGATTTGTAGAAAATTAAGAAAAAAATTTACATTCTCCCATCTTGAATTACTGGTTTTCGGGAGAAGATCCGAAAAGATGCGCTGGTGTCATCGTAGATATATTATATATATACAGTAAAATGTGACAATCGACAGAGTACAGTGCACTATCGTCCAGCAACAGCTGCAGCTGTTAATTGCAACGACTCAACCGGCCAACGAACACGGTGACAGCCAAGTGCACGATGGCTACCATTATGGTAAGAACTACATCATAATAATATTATGCTTATAATAATTTTGGTTGTGATATTTACCAATTTGATAATCTGACGCTTTACTCGACGCCAAAAACTGGTGAACAAAACTGACTATTTAACGGCAACGACCGAAAACTATCTCGTTTCGTCTCTATCTGAAAAGAAAACAATTAAAAAAATTACATTAAACGTGTGAAATACAATTATTTATAAATGAATATAATATGTAATACTATGGTATATTTTAATTATATTTCCTGAAAAAAAAAAAAAGAATTACTTTTAATCACAATAATATGAATAGTAATATTATACAGCACTAAGATTTCGATGCATTTGGCATTGTCTTCCTAATCTACGCAATGAACAATGACGTGTTAAGAGTATTTAAAAAAAAAATGTTTACATTYCATTTCATTTTAATTTTATTTCAGAGCTATTTAATGTGTTTTTAGGGCATCTAAAGCCTAACTTCAGTTTTCATCAAATCTTGTTTAACGATTTATCCTTAAAATTTTTTTTTTACGCACTAATWATACTTACATCAAATCAAACATTACTATTACTATTACTATCAATCATAATTTTTCGAACAAAACCAAATGATGTAAATTAGAGATTATGAGTTTCTACGGAAAATTAAAGTAGAAAAAAGTGGGTTAGTCGTGGATGTCGCTCTGCTGTACAGTATATAGGTTACAAGTGGGTT